TAAAACTGATAGAAAATGTCCCCACCCCTGCTGACCAGGCAGAAGGGAAGCCTCTAGTGTGGACAGAGTGTGTAAGCTTTCATCTCTGGAGCCCAAGAGCCCATCAGATTGCCTCGCAAACAACAATTTCTTAATAAATGCTTGATTTAGATATGGCAACTACCTTAGACTCAGTCTTGTCAAACCTCCTCGTTTACTGATGAGGAAGCTCAAGCACCCAAGATGGGAGCTCCATCATATGCCCAAGGACCCACAAAAGAAGTGACAGAGCTAAGATTGGTATCTGCTGAGGCCAAATCCTTGTCTCTCTGCTAAATGGATGTGATCTTGCTTATCCTCAAATGCAATCTTTGTACCACAGAATTTCAGAGTTGGAAGTGACCTGGGAGGTCAACTGGTCAAAGTCTACCCAAATAAAAATGCCCACTACCCCATAACTCAGTGGCCAGCTGGCCAGCCTCGGCCTGAAGACCTCCCATGTGGAGGAAACTCAGAGCACTCCAGACAGCCTACTATCCTTGGGGATAGCTCTCGCCATTAGGAAAAGGTTAGCTTCAATCTTCTAGAAGACTGGGTCTCCTTGATGTTGTTTTTTTGTTTGTTGGTTGGTTTTCCTCTTCTGATTAAGGGATCAACTATTTTATTCATTCATATTTCATTCTGTTAAAAAATCTAAACATTGTTAATATTGTTAACCTACACAGTATTACACAATTTCCTCTTTTTTTCTTTTTGATAGGAGAGAGACAATGAAAAATGTTTCAAGTATGCCATTCTATTTGCCAGCCAGTGTGTAAATTTTACAATTTAAATAAGCCTGGCCAGCCACTCTTTATTTTACTATCTTCTTTTATCATTCCAGTTTTAATTACATCAATGCTTATGTTTTCTTCCTTTAAGCTGCTCTTTGTTTTCCACTGAGAGAAGACAATTATTTTTAAGGAAAAAAAAAACCCATCTATTTATTTGGCTCTTAGTTATATTAATTTTAATTGTGTCCCTTTGATTCATCTCATTGTGTATTTGGATTCATAGCCACAGGTACATTCAAATTTACAAAGAAAATGCAAACAAGAGAGAAAGAGGACACAGAGGAAAAAAAAACTGGGAGGAGAAAAGGGCGGGGTAGAGGTAGTGAGAGAGACTGAATTTAAGAAGGCATTACTCCATGCCCAGTTCTAAATGCTATGGATGTGAATGTAAGCAAAAAAGAAAGATAGTTCCTGCCCTCAGGGAGCTTATATTCTAGTAAGGGAAGACACAGAAAAGGGAGGCTATGAAAAGCTGGGATTGGAGAGCTCATAGTGGGGATACCCACATTGATAAAATCAAAAAGCAAAAAGAGATGGAACAGACAGAGAGGAGACACAGACAGACAGAGATGGACACCAAGACACAGAGAGAAAAACAGACAGACAGCAGGGGGTGGGGGGAAAAGGGAGAGGGAGAGGGAGAGGGAGAGAGGGAGAGAGAGAGAGAGAGAGAGAGAGAGAGAGAGAGAGAGAGAGAGAGAGAGAGAGAGAGAGATCTGGTAGGACACCAAAGCTTCCTCTGTCTTCATTCTTATTCTTTCAGTGCTCCGTGATTTTCACTAGACCAAATGCTTTTTCATCAGTCTCATTGCATATAACTAGGGGCGAACAAAACATCATGGTCTTCCCTGATTACCCAGAGTTGGGGCTGAGTGACATTGATTGGCCGTCACAGTTTGGTCAACATCAGATCCTGCTTCAGATACGAACCAGAGACCGATACAAACATCAAGGCATGTGAACAAATTCAGGAAACAACCAAAAAAGAAACCACTACTAAGAAGAGCCACTATTTCTTTACTGTTCTACAGTTGCCCAGGCACTTCTCCTTTCAAGAACACCGTGCAGGAGGTAAGTCAACAAGACAACAAGAGTGTACAAGAATAAGGCATCCAGTGCTATCACTTCATCCTTCCTTTTATTGTATTTCCACGTCTCAGATCATCTGTGATTTTATCAATACAAGTATCCCCACTATGAGCACAAAACGATACCCTCTCGGCTAAGTAGTGAGTCTTCAAGAGTTAGCGGGTCCAAAAATTCATCAGCTCGAGGCCACACTGGTGATGAGCCTCTTCGCTAAATTTAGAGTCTGTTCTTTGGACAATCCGTCCCTGGGCCTCCCTTGAAAACTTTGCCGGCTTAATGAGATCGGGCAGACCAGGTATTACACAAGCTTACACGCCAGTAATCCAGGGTCACCTCTACCCCATGACTGAGGTGTTGGAAAAGGCCTTCAATGGAGTTTCATTTCCTTTTATTAAAGGCAAATAACTGTCTGAAATGTGAGTGGTCATTTTACATTCCTGCTATTTATTACTTTCATGAGGCAAAAGTGACTCAAATGTTCCTTTTAAAATTTTGTATTCCCTCTGACTTGGTTCACTTCCATTAAAATGGATCCTTACTTGTGAAGTATTTATAAGATTTAAGTTACAAGCACATGTGGAAGAAAGATTTCATCCATATTCCACCCAAAAAAATATTCGCCCCAGAGAAGCAACTCAGTTTTCTTCTTATTTTCCAAGAGCAATACTTTCATCCACTCTTGTGGCTGTTCAGTTGTTTCAGCCATGTCTGACTCTTTGTGAACCCTTTTTGGGTTTTCTTGGCAAAGATACTGGAGCGGTTTTGCCATTTCCTTCTCTAACTCATTTTAACGATGAGGTAACTGAGGAAAACAGGGTGAAGAGCTTGTCCAGGTCACATGGTTAGTAAGTATCTTAGGCCAGATTTGAACTCAGGAAGGTCAGTCTTCCTGACTCCAGACCCCACACTCTAACCGCTGCACCACCAAGTTGCCCCTTCTTCCACTTTAAGAGTTCTGAATTTGGGGTTTGAGTCTTTGTTTTGTGATGATATATTAGCTATTCCAAAATAGTGCCACGTACCCTATTATTAAAAACATGATTCTGAGAGGTGGTCCACGGGCCTCTCCAAACACTGCCAACATGTTCCACGGCACGCAAAAAAGGGAAAAACCCCACACGCTCCCACTTCATCCAAGCTACTCAACCAGGTGGATGAACACGAAGCCTTGGGGTTCACTGGGAGGAGAACACAAATGCCAACTGACTGAAAGAATGATTTGGGAATTGGACTGTTTTGCGTTTTGCCTGGTTATTAACATACAAAGAATGCAGTTTACACAGAGATTGCCTAAAAATTATTGGAGACTGGTAAGCTATTCTTTCACGTCCTCACCATTCCATATTGGGTGACTCTCGCCCAGGTTCAAAATCCTAACCTGAGATGGCAGGCATTATACCTATTTTACAGATTGAAGAGAAAGCTAAGTCCTGCAAATGGATAGAGTGCTGAACTTGCCGTGAACAAGTTAAAGTTGAATTAAAATCTAACTTCAGACACACACTAGTTCTGTGATCTTGGAGAAGTCACTTAATCTCTGTCTACTTCAGTTTCCTAAACTGTAGAATGGGGATGGCCTTTCATCACACCTACCTCCCAGAGTTGATGTGAGGATCAGATTAAATTGCTTATCAGACAGTATCTGGGGAGGGAGGAGGATGCAGGGAGGAATGGAATTTAAAACTCAAAACTTTAAAAAAAATGTTAAAAATTGTTTTTACATGTAACTGGGAAAAAATAAAATATTATTTTAAAAAAGTGTTCAGCACGGTTCCCGCACAAAGTAAGTACCGGATCCCTTCTCTCCCCTTTTCTTCCTTTCCCCCACTCTCACAATTTCCTCGTCGGTAAGAAGGGGATAATAATAGTCCCTATCTCTGAAAGTGGTTATGGGGATAAAATCAGATGATATTTGCCAAGCACTCTGCCAGCCTTACAGTGCTATCTATATCAGTGCTAGCTATTGCCATCATTATTCAAACCACAAGCATTTTGGTATCTGTGGTGCATGCAGAACTCTGATAAGCGTGAGGGACAGGGATACATGGCATGAACTCATCCCTACTTGGAAAGAGCTGACATTCTAATGGACAAGGAAACCGAGGCCCAAAGAGACTCCAGAGTTTGCCCAAAGTCAAACAGTTACCAGATTGTGGAACCCCAAGGGGAGGCTGGTCATCTGCCTCCAAGTGATGTGTTATTTCCACCAGATCACATGGCCTTTGTTCTTTACCCTGTGTAAATGAGACAATGTTGCATTCTTGCTAGTAATTACTTTCATGGGGAAAATGATCCCAACGTAATATGCAAAATTATGTAAAGCTTCTCAGTGTGAAATGCTGAATGATGCTAATCAGAAAAAGGAACTGGGGAAAAGTGGAAATTAGCTTAATTCTTTATTTCAAAGTTGACCGCAGATTGCCCGGCTTCACTATATATGTATATTATATATACATATATATGTCTATGTATATATATATATACATATATACATATATATATATATATATGTACGTGTGTGTGTGTATACATATGTATATATATGTAATTATCACTTGCCATGGACTCACCAAAAAGCTTCAGACCTGGTCTTTCTCCTTACACTTACACCAACCACTTCAAAAGTCCTGGGCTTTATCTATTCTCTCTGAAAGATTCCCAGAAAAGCCCATGTATCCAATTATCCAAGAGAAAATATCTCCTTCCTTATTCAAAGGCTTTTATCAGGCAATTATTTGATAAACAAAAATGCCATAAATGAGTCATCATAACAACCCAAACAGTAGTTATGCTATGTGTGATGTTCTGCCCATAAATCTTTGAAACACTTTGCATACATTGTCTCATTAATCTTCATGATATCTGCACAAGGAATCATATTAGTGGACGGGTCTAATTACCCTCCTTTGTACAATGACATGCAGGCTTATTTAAAAAAGCACATTTGTCTAACAAAAAAGACCCAGACACTCAGGGCTACTGCCCTAAGCAGTGAACTTGAGTGAATCCATAGGGCACATCTTTCCCCAGCCCAAGAATTTTTGAGAGTAGAAAGAACAACAGCCAGTCAGATGCGTCAACAGCCATACTATTTCCTACCTCCAGTCTGTCTGTCCTCATTAATTTCTGTGCTGCAGCTGCTGCCGCAGCAGGTACTGGAACAGCAGGATTCCCTGTAACCAGCATTGGTGCAGTTGGCAAGATGTCTGCTGGGACCAAGCCTGGGGAAACGGGTCCCAGGTAGGGATTGAAGGCGGCGGACGCATTGGTGGCTAGGCTGGGGGCAACAGAAAACATTGGCTGAAAAAAAAAGGAAAAGAAAAAAGAACTATTAGCATTCATGCCATTTAAGAAGGCCAGTAGGTGGTTTACATTCTAAATCCCAAGGGTAGTGCATTATGGGTATCATGCCTGTCAAGGCCCTTTCATTGGTTTGCTATTTTATAAATGGACATTTATTTTGCCAAGAAAAGAAAAAATCCTTACAAAAATAGAAAAAAAAATTCCTGCAAATACTTTATTTAAGCACAATGGCCTTGAAATTCTGCACCGATTTTTTACCCAGATTTGGAATCTATGACACGAAGAAGTTTTACTTGAAAAAGGATGGCTATGCTTTTCAGTGCTGAAATGCCTTTTCATCACTGTCCAACTCCCCAAGTCTGACCTGATTTAACCTTGGGAACTTTCAAAAAAGAATTCTTAACTATGTTATCAGATATGTGCGAAAAAGCCGCTTCGAAGGGCTCAGAGGTTATAAGGGTCCTATTATCTGAGATAACAAATAAGTTAGGGTACCCAGTGGATAACATACAGCAGCACAATTCAGAGGACAATACATGGATATACCCTCAGGAAACTGGGAAAGGTGACATAACACTAAGTCAGTCAGCAAACAAGCATTTATTAGGTGCATAGTATATGCCAGGTGCTTTACTAAGCTAGGGATTCAAAGAAATGCAAAGCTTGGGGTAAGTTTAATCGGTTTATCAATATATTTAGTTTTCAGCAGCTAGGTGGCGCCATAGTGCACAGAGTGCCAGGCCTGGAGTCAGGAAGAGGCATCTTCCAGAATGCAAATCTAGTTTCAGACACTTAGGAACTGTGTGACCCTGGGTAAGTCACTTAACCCTGTTTGCCTCAGTTTCCTCATCTGTAAAAAGAGCTGGAAAAGGAAGTGGCAAACGATTCCAGTACTTTGCCAAGAAAACCCCAAATGGAGTTGGCAAAGAGACATGACTAGAAAAACAAATGAACAAGATAATACTTAAAAACTATAAAGAATTCAATTTTTATACATTTATTGACCTCTAAGGATAATCTTTCACACAGTAAAAATAGCAAACTAAAATGTATATAATCCCTGGGTCTCCTAAAATGGTGGATTTACTAGACCCATTAGTGACAAATTCAAGCTAAGGTTGTGATAACATGTTAATTAACAGGGCTTTGAGGCAAGAAGTTTTACTGTCCCATCTAAACAGCATGACTAGTCTCTACCATAATTGTGAAATAAATCTATCTGAGGTTAATAAACAACCTTGCCTTAATTAATTCAGCAGGCATCTATTAAGTATCTACCATGTGCCATGAGTCAAAGATCAAATTAAACATATATACATATATATGTATACACACACACACATACACATATATATATGTGTATATATATATATATGTGTGTGTGTGTATATATATATATATATATATATATATTCACATCTATATATCAGTGCCTGCCATCAGAGAGCTTACATTCTATTGGAAAAAGATATTATACACAAAGATGAGTAAACGTGAGATACGTACAAAGTGCACAAAACTTAATTCAGGGGATAAGCCAACAAGTCCAGTTCTGGGGCTTATCTTCTGCCTTTATCTGAAGCCAACGGCTGAATGGCCAGACACAATCCACCCTTCCCCCACCTTCAACACTCAATTGCCCTGGTACAGGGCAGGGAGTCAGGAGTGCCTCAGCATCTGTTTGAGCACCAGTGTGACCATGGCCTACTGGTGCTAATGCTTCTTAAAGTAACAGGGTTGGTCTAAGCTGAAGCCATAATTTGAATTCACATGTCCAGAAATATTCAAGCCAACCTGTATCTTAGGTGAATGTGTATTCTGTGATACCAGGTCTAGAACCCTCCATTAAAGGTCTCCCCTGATGCCTCTTCATGCTGTAGAGATGGTCCTAGGTTTTCAAAGAGTATCTCAGTCGAATAAAAGCTCTGGAAGGCCCTGGCAACCTCAAAGGCTTTCTTTATCGGTCCTATGACTGGCATACTGTATGTCTGTGGATTCAATTTGCGTTAGACTGTAAGCTCCTTGAGGGCAGGGACTGTCTTTTGCCTCTCTTTGTTTCCCCAGTGCTTAGCCCAGTGCCTGGCATGTAGTAGCTTAATAAGTATTTATTGATTGGTTGACCAGCCCAACGAAGTTGAAGGAAGCTGATCACCAAAAGACTGGCCACAAGGATTTCTTTTTCAGTCCAACGCCCCTAATTAACAGATGAGCAAACTGACAAGTAGGGGAGTTGAGGGATATGCATGAGGTTGCACAGTTAATAAGTATCTGAGGCAGGATTTATACTCGGGTCCTCCACTCTGAGAAAATCGGAGATAATTTGAAGGATTTTAGGTAGGGAAGGATAAAATAGTCCAGTGCTCTGTTTTCTGTACCAAAAAAAAGTTAAGAATTATAAGATACCCTGTGTTTTCTTTTGCAACATGGCTAACACCGAAATGTTTTGCATGACTATACATGTATAATCTGTATCCAATTGCTTGCCTTCTAAAGGAGGGGGGTATGGGGAGGGAGGGAGAGAATAAGGAAGTCAAAATTTAAAAAAAATGTTAAAAATCATTGTTTATTTGTAATTGAGAAAAAAATATATAAAAATTGAATGAAATCCTAAAGTTTAAAAAAAAAAGAACTCTAAGACACAGTGTACAAGAGCCCTAAAATTTAATTTGTTTTCTGTGTTCTTAATATTTAACAATACAAAATGCTAAGGAATTCTGTGGTTAAGTGAGAAAGACCTGAGTTCAAATCCCACCTAAGAACTTACTAGCTGTGTGATGTTACATGCCTGTTTGTTCCAGTTTACTCACGTGTAAAATGGGGATAATAAGCACACCTACCTCACAGAACTGTTGTGAGGATCCAATGAAAACATACCTGTAAAGCGCTTTGCAAACCTAAAATTACTATGTAAATACTAGCTCTTATTAGTGTTTGTTGATAATAGTAACAATAAAAGATTTGTTCAATCCACATGCCTTGGCTGCAAATTAACATGCCCTTCCCAGAGGGTTCCTGTCTCTCCAATGCATATAGAAGCATATATTTTAAATGTTGTAGGAAGTGTATGAACCACCATTAGAGACACAGAAGAGGGCCTCTGAAAAGAGCTGACTATGGGTGAAATGTACACTAGGGTCCTCATTTTCAAATGTATGGAAGGAGGAAGAGGAGAGAAATAGAGGGAGAAAGGAGAAAGAGAAAGGAGGAGAAAGAGAAAGAGGAAGAGGAGGGGGAGGACAGGAAGGAGCAGGAGGACAAGGAGGAAGAGTAGGGGGGAAGAGGAGGAGGAGGGAAGAAAAGAGGAGGAAGAAGAAGAGGAGAGGAGGAGAGGAAGAATGAGGAGGAGGAGAAGGAGAAGGAGGAGAAGAAGGGGGAGGGAGGAAAGGAGGAGGGGGAAAAGGAGAAGGGGCAGAATGCCATCCTAGTTATCTCCTTGGTCTAAGGAACTTCGAGAGAGGAAGCTCGCTTTCCCAAGGCAGGCGTGCAGCAGCCTCCCTCAGGGTTCTGCTGGTAGATCCCGCAGGCACACGCTTGTTCCCTTTACAATATGAATTCCTTGAAAACAGGGATTTTTTTTCCTTTCTTTGCATCCCTAGTGTTTAGCACCGTGCCTGGACATGGTTGATTTAAAAAAAAAAAGCTTCCTGACAGCTTGCAGACTTGCAGCTGGCCACAGGCTTGTGAAGTGTGAAGCTAAGTGACTTTCCCAGGGTCACACAGCCGGTAAATGTCAGACCAAACATGAACTCAGTCTTCTCAACTCCAAGGCCATCTGTCTCTCCATCCATTCTGCCCCTTTGTCCCCCTTACTATAAATTAAATAGCAATAATATTCTTATGACTATATTACATGTATCATATTGAATATATAACATTAACATAGGCAAAGCATTTAGCAAATCTCAAGGAGGGAGATTATTATTATCACACTAAATTGATAGAATAATTATTATTATTTCTTAATTATCATCATCATTATTCTAAGATCAAAAGGATTTTCCTCTGCATTGCTCCTGGGAGTATCCAAGATGATTCACATGCCTTTATTTTTCAAATTTACCCCAGCAGGACTAAATGCCTTCCTGCTGTCTGCTTAAAGACACTGCAGGCAAAGCCACATCATTTTCCAAAGGGCTGCAGCTCCGAGTCATCCGCCTCCCTTTATCTGCAATTGCTGCCACTCAGGAGAATGAGAGCTAGTTCACAAACAGCCAGACACTCCATCGATACAAAGAGCTGCCAACTGAGGGACTTCACTGCAGCGGCTGCAGAAAGGCACCGTTTCTTCATTTCTCAAAGTACAGATTGCCAAAGACTCTCCCTGCTCTTTTTCTGCAGTGCCGGGAGTTCAGGGCAGGGCAGTGGGGTCTGACCTGGTCAGCCTTCATCGTGATCAGTGTCTCCAGCTGTGCCTTTCCTCATCCTTCCAGCAGTTAGAGCCTCACCTGCCCGAATGACTTTAGAGCTGCTGTGGGCCATTTTGTATATGACCTATATAAGCACATGGGGGTTTGGTTGGGTTTGGTTTCCGTCCCCCACTAAAAGGTAAATTCTTTTAGGGCAAGGATTATTTTACTTGTCTCTATAGCCCTCGTATTTAGCATGCTGAACATACTCGTGGATCACCCCATTGATTCCAGAAAATATCCTGCAATCAGTTCAATTTAGCAAGGGTTTATTAAGCCCCTACTATGAACCAAGTGGGGTACAAGGTGCTTGGACATCCAAAAACTGAACAGCCTCTATTCTCAAGGAAATGATCTTCTAGAAGGAAATCTAGATCATTTTATAGAAAATGCATGCAGAGTCAAGTCAAAGCAATGTGTTGAGGATGGGGAAGCCTTCCTGGAGCATGAAACATGTCGGCTTGGCTGGAACAGAGCGCTCTGAAAGGACAGCATGTGCAATCAGCCTGCACAGAGGGCGCCCGAAGGGGATGATGGAAACTGGACAGACCAAGGACCACTCCATTTTCTCTTTAAGGTAAACAATGAGATCAGGTGAAATCATTTCACTGGAGCGCTTAAGGGCAGAAGCAAGGGATAAGGACTCTCCAAGTGTCCCGGTGAACATTTATTGAGGTTATAAATGGTCACAATAAAGAAAATGGCTGCATGTAGACCCTGGGCTGGCTAAAGCCCATGGTTGGGAAGAACAATTAGCAATCTCACTGACTTCTGTTTACACTTCTGCTTTCAAGGCTAATCACTTGCTAGTTTGTTTCTATTTTGACAATAATGGTTTTACTGTACTGATGGAGCCTAGGGCTATGATGTGAAATTGAAAAAAAAAAAAACCAAAACATTGTCACTGACTAATTAATACCCACAGCTTCCAAGGAAGCTCAGCATCTCATTGAAAAACAAATCAGTGATTAGCCTTGAAAATAAACAGGAGTGAACACTGGACCCTAATTAATGAATGTGTTCACTGTTCTGCTCTGCTGCAGAAATTAGCTGCTAGTACTAGCTTTTTAGACATTAAATGAACCATTTTCCAAAAATGGATTTAACATAAAGGGCGGCTTGACAATTTCGACTTCCTTCTTCCTCCTCAAAATTTCACAACTGTGTTCCAATCATCTCCTGACTCAAGGCATTGTCACCTGCCATCCCTCTCGCCTGGCGTGCTCTTCCTCCTCATCTCTGCCTCTCAGGGTCCTTGGAGTCTCAGCTAAAAGTCCACCTCCTTTTCTGATCCCCTGTAATGCCTTCCCTCACCTGGTCATCTCCAATTTATCCCGTATCTATCTTGCTTAGACATGGTTGCTTGCATGGCACTGTGAACTCATCAAGGGCATGGACCAGTCTTTCATCTTGCTTTGTATCCCCAGTGCTAAACACAGTGCCTGGCACAAAGTAGGTGCTTAATAAATGCCCGTTGACTTAACTTGCTTTGGAGTAAATGCTTTCATAGCATTCATGGGTCTTCTTAGCGTGTGAGTTTCAGTCTAGGCAGACTTTTACATGATAATCTTTACATTCATAGGCAACAGACATTTATTAAGGTCCGTTGTATGCAAGGCCTCATACTAGACACTGAAACAAAAAGACAAAAACCAAAGGAGCTTTTTCCCTCAGAAATGCCACATACTCAGGGAGACACAGGATATAAAAAGAAAAATCAGTAGTTTGAGAAGGAGGAAAGTCCCAACACCTGGGAGGTCACACAATAAATACTGCAAACACCAAGGAATAGTCATTCATTCTCAAATTGTATATGGACAGTGTCATGATTTATGGAGGTGAGGTCACTGGGGATTAAGGAGTGACATACATAGATACACGTACACATGCACACACATATAGCTGTCTATGTGTATTATGTGTCTGTTAATATTTTATAGAATGTTAAGAAAAATAGAAAACACATCTGAAATGATATTTTAATAGGATTCTCCTTTCAATTATAAAAATAGGCAATGAAAACAGAGTGCTTACATTTTTTAATTCTATGCCAATCAAAAAGTAAGAAGTCTTGTTTCTGAGTGTGCTTTAACACTTGGCAGGGCTTTTTGACTGGATTTTTCTACAACCCTCCCCACCACACAGTGAAAACAAAAGGTCAATGAGGCTATTTTAGAAGCTAGGGTTTCCGTAGTAATTGATTAAAAAAAAATCAAAGCCCCTTCATTTCTTCCCAGGGAGCTGCACACTGTCAGAATAAAGCAGGCTGTGTAGGGAATGTCTCTTGTCTCTCTCTGCTAATCTTTACCATTTACTCAAATGTTACTTGGCAACAATAATTAAACGTGAAGGCATGGAAATCAAAATAAGCTTCTTTGTGAACCTGCAGAAAAGTTTTAGAACTGGAAGAACTCTAAGACATCATTCAGTCTGATCATATCATTCTAGAGAGGAACAAAGCAAGAGTCAGGGAGGCCCAAAGTCAGACGAGTGGATTTGAACCCAGGGCCTCTCACCTCAAATCCAGTTAACATTTTCTACTATACAATACAATAATGTGTGCCACCTGTGTGTGTGTGTGTGTCTGTCTGTCTGCCTATCTCATTGTCTCTATCTCTCTGATTCTCTGTGTTTGTCTCTGTCTCTTTCTGTGTCTCTGTCTCTCCCTACTCCTCCTTTCTTCCCTGCACTCTCTCTTCCCCCTCTTCTCTTTCTCTGTGTCTCTCTGTGTCTGTCTCTCCCTCCCTCTCTCTCTCTCTGTCTCTCTCTCTGTCTCTCTCTCTCTCTCTCTCACACACACACACACACACACACACACACACACACACACACACAACCCCTCTTTCCCTCCTATATTCTGTCTTCTCCTCTCTTTTCTATGCCCCCTTCTCCCTCCCCCCTCTCCCCCCTTTCCCAATTAGTGTAGAAACACAACACAATTCTAAAGTGCTGTAAGGTTTACAAAGCATTTGACAGGCACTGTTTTATTTAGTAGGCTAACCCAATGAGATAATTGTTTTGACTGTTCCCAAGTGAGTGTTGAAGACTCCTCTCACTGACTCCCAGTCTAGCGTTCTCCCCACCTCACCAAGTTGTCTTACTTCAAACAATTCTCTACCAAGGCTGACACTTTTTACCAAATTCAGCCATCCGCTCACATGACCTGGAGACAGGCTGCATAGATACCCTCTTCCAGAGCCACACCACACACAGCAGGGTGGATGAAAGGGGACACCGAATGGCTTAACATCGCTTTTTAGATGTAGAGGTGTTGACTTGGGACACTCGGGGGTAACAGTAAAGCCTTGTCTGGACCACTCCCGGGCACACTGGACAAGTAAGCTCTCGGAAACAATGGAAGTATTCCAGGTATTCCTGGAAACATGACAAATGATGAGCAGAGGACATTTTGCACAAGAACAGCACACTCAAGGGAAGGAAAGCGGGAAAGACTCTTGGGTTTTGAGCACACCTAGACCAACTGTATCATTTCACAGATGAGGAAACTGAGGTACAGAATGATTTGCCCAAGTACTAAATATCAGAGCCAGGGTTTAAACTTCATTAAAGGTACTCAGAATTGTAATCTCAGCTGGTTATTCACACCAGGGATTACCAAAAGTTCGTTTTCCATGCCATGTAGGATGCTATTTTCACATTCATTGGAATCACAAAGTCAGGTGAGAGGCAGAGATGCGGAGGGGATGAAGTGCTGACCTAGGAGTCGGGCCTACTCGGGTTCAAATCACAAACTAAGGTTGTCTCTGAAAGCGTCCAACTGAGGCCACTGCTCAGTCTGTTCCACGGATGGCTCTACTATAATAATTGTTGACATTTATGGCCGAATTTAGTGCTCAACTATTAAGACAAACAACATTTCCTGCCTCTAGTAATGCTTCCTATTACAGAGAGAATGCAATATGATGGTAAGTGTGCTTTAAATATTTAATTCGTGCAACTTATCTAACATTAAGGGTGATATCATGTTTTCCACAAATTGGTAGCTACTTATAATGTACCTATCAGATGCCCCAAGGCTACTGGAAAGGTCCAAAAAGTGAAAGAAAGAAATCTTATCATCCTGCACCAGGAGGGAACCTATCCTCATGGATTCCTTTAAGAAATTAAAGTTAGTAAACTGCCCCCAGCATAGCAGTTTGAAATGAGTAGGTTGGCATCTGTGTCAATTTAAATTATAAATGTTTAAGCTGGTGTTAACTTTTAAAATAAAATAAATACCAGTCAAAAGAAAGTATTTTGAATCATATTTTCCCGCCTCTATCATAGGGTACAGATAATTGTTATTCCCCTTCTGTTCCCAATAAACTCCCTTTCAATCAATAGTCTAACCACGTCGTTTTCGTGGGCATCTGACTCTCCCCTGAAGATACCTTCTCCCGACCATTGGAAACCACTCCTTGCAATCCTCCACTTTACAGGACCAGGAAGAAGATTGGGCAAGTCAAAGGAGTGTCTCATACAGCTGCTTCTAGAACATTCCTCAATTGCCTCACTTATCTGATGGTTTCAGCCATGAAATAGATACAGCAGCCTCAGTGGGACCCTTCCAAAGACAGCCTTAGTTTGTGATTTCTCACAGCAAAATAACCACGTTAGCACAGTGCTGTCCACGTGCTTGCACACGGGATCCATGATCCCAGAGTTTTACGGCGTAGCTATTTCTATATTAGCCTTAAAAACTGTCAGGCTATCACGGGAAACCATTCTCCAGCCTCTGCAAATCGTACATGTATGTCTGATTCTATTCCAGGTAGAGGGAACCATGACCAATAACCCAGGGAATAGACTACGATTTAACACACGACTATGACAGCCTTAATGACCCGGAGCTACCAAAGAGCATTAGCGAAACTGGAGAATTTATCACATGCAAGAGCCTGGATGCCATTTGCAATAATTATAGGAAAGAGAGTTATATTACAAAGTGTTTGATGCTATAGCTTGGTGTGATTGGTTCCCATCAAGTGCTGAACGCTTCACACACTCCATTTGGATTCAGTTTAGATTCCCATCCAATGGTCTGTTTTGAAGAGATATCGGATGCCAAGACATGATTGGAAAAGGAGAATCCTACAAGTGCCAGCTTACCACAGGTTGTAGCGGGGCGCCAGGGATCATGGCATTAGCAAGTTGCATCTGCTGGGCCAGCATGGCCATGTTCTTCTGCTGAATCAGGTTGTTGCGTCCATTTATTTCCAATTGTGTTTTTAAGTGGGGAGGCGGGTGAAGATATTTGCAGTTCTCTCTTGAACAGCGACCCTACAACAGAAGAATACAAGTTTGAAAAAAGCTGAAATCTCTTCTCATCATTTGCAAACAAAAAAGACAGTATTCTTGACATTACCTTCATATCTGCAGAAACTATAGAAACAATGGTGACCTAATTCTCTACCATTGCAAAATGAAATATATTCTATAAACTGGTAAATCCACTGATATTGTAAAATAAGTTATAAAGATACTTAAACATTTCAAAATGAAGTTGATTGATGGCGACAGTCTTCAGCTGAATATATTTGAAACTGCTTGCTACACCATGACATCTGCTTTTAGAGTGTCTAGGAGCAATGTAAGATGATTAACTTTGATGCCAGAATGTTCCTACAGTCAACCATATTGAGTCTATTCAAGCTGAATGCGCAACTTCACAGGTTCACAGTTTTTATTCTATTTCATTCTTGAGAAATAACATAAATTTAGTATCACGGATAGGAACTAGAACTTTAGCAAGGAGCCCTTAACTGATATTCTGAAAAACAAAAAGGAAAATTCAGTACAATTACTCATACAAAACTGAGAATTTGGAAGACCCTTATCCTCTCCTACCTAGAACACTTCAGTAGTCTCTTGCTGGTCTCCCTGCCTCCAGTCTCCCCCGAGTCTATCCTTCACTTAGCTGTCAAAGTGATCTTTGTAAAGCGCAAGCGTGACCAGACTCCAAGATCAAATTAGAAATACTATAGGGTGGGGTGTCCAAAGCCCTTCCTCAGCTGCCCCACCCCATTTCTAGTCTTCTCCCACTTTATGCCACCCCCACACACATAGTCTGGGTTCCAGGTGCACCCAGCTCCTCGCTATTTCTCAAACAAGATACGCCATCTCCCAACTCCAAGCAACTCCCTTGGCTGTCCATCATTCCTGAGATGTTTTCCTTTTTCATCTCTGCCTCCTTGCTTTCCCAGCTTTCTTCTAGTCCCAGGTAAAATCCCATTTTCTAAAGGAAGCCTTTCATGGTCTGCCTTGATACCGGCCTCTTCCCTCTGCTGATCATTTCCAAATAATCCTGCATGGAGCCTGGATATAGGATCACACATAGCTGTTTGCATGTTGTTTCCTCCATTGGACCATGAGCTCCATGAGAATGGAGGCCTCTCTTTGTATCTACAGCCCTTATGACATGCACTTAATAAATGCTTATTGATGGAATTCAGCATGGACAGTTTTGGATGTATAATACGGAAAATGTGTTTGAATCCTGCCTCTCACAATTAGTAGCTATGACAACACAGGCAAGGTATTTCATCTCAGGGAGCCTCAGTTTCCTTCCTTGTAAAATAGGGATGATAATAATGCCTCCTAAAGTAGATATGAGGTTTAAATGAGAGAGTGGATATATAGTGCTTTGCAAGCTTTAAAATTGCTACAGCATTGTGGATAGTGACTTATCTTTGGATGAGTAAGTCCTGGGTTCCCCTCTGGCTATGTAACCCCAGGCAAATCCCTCAATCTCCAGTGCCCAAGACTATGAATACTTACAGGCTTTAAGACTTTAATTGTCAGAGAAGGTATAGACCTGCACCTCCAGGGCTCCCTATCCCAATGAAATCAAATGTCCATTCTCTGCCCCAGAAAGTGTTATAGAAATTCTAGATTATTATTGGGGAAGCTAAGTGGTTCCATACTGCATAGAGCTCCAGACCTGGAATCAGGAAGACTGATTCCTGAATTCAAATCCAGCCTCAGACACTAGTTTAGTTACTATCTGTGTGACCCTGGGCAAGTCACTTCACCCTGTTTGCCTCAGTTTCCTCATCTGTAAAATGAGCTGGAGAAGGAGATGGCAAACCACTCCAGTATCTTTGACAAGAAAATCCCAACTGGGGTTATGAAGAGACACAACTAAGTAACATGATTATCATTACTATTATATCTATTATTATACAACTTCTAGTAGTATAATGTCCTACTCCTACTACTGCTACTACTACTAGTACCACCACCACTACTGCTACCACTACTACTACTACTATTATGTTGCCAGACCCTCTTCTACCAATGATTCTAATAAGAAATAATAGTGTGGATAAAAAGGAGTTTTGAATAGAGGCAATCAGCCTGTTTCTCAATACTCCTTTGATTATTCTAAGAAAAATTAATTTGTTATTTGTTGACCTTACACTATAATTTAACTTAGCAAATCATGGTGCTTGCGGTTATTACAAAATTTGCCAAGAAATCTAATTTGAATGATCTGTTTCCAGCTTCCTTGGAGTGAGGGAGACAGGGACTTTTCAGCCATCTGTCCCCATACCTGGCATACTTAACAACATGCATGACCCTCATTTTCACAGCCAGCCAAATGTTGTTTTAATAATCTTTGCATAATAAAGCATGTCTAATAACGAGAAGGTGCTAGGTAGCAGGTTTTAAAACTCCTTTTGCACTGTGTACAAACAAGAAGAACTTCTATGAGGACAAAAAATGGATGAGAAAATTGTTTTTCATAACAATCATTCGTTTTTTATATTTACATGTAGCAATGCAATGCAATAGGGTCTTAGCCTTTTTTGGATTGATGTAGCATGTCTGTGGATCACGAATATTTGGATGAGTCATTTAACTTCCATGGTCCTCATTTTCCTCATCTGGAAAATGGGAATAATCCCTGTTTTATATACTTCACAAAGTTGCTGTGAGGTTCACAGGAGATGTTATGGGGAAATGCTCTATGAACAGTAGTCCGCTAACGTGAGGTATTTGTCTCAGTGTAAAAAACAAAACAAAAGAAACAAAAAAAAAAACCAATGAGGTTGGATGCCAAGTCAAATCCATGGGGAAGAACTGCCAACCCCCTGGAAGCCACAGCTGCTGTGATTCTGGGCAGGCCAGGAAAAAAAGAAAAAAAACCATTTTCTTATAAAAGGGAATCAAATAGGAAATTCTGAGCCAGGATATTCCTGTATCACATTTCTTACTAAAAATGAGTCAAGATAAGAACAGAAGAACTAAATGGGACTACATTCAGCCTTGTTCAATTTTCTGAGCCCATTCTATAGGGCTCTCCAATTAACACCACTCCTGTGGGCACCCTCTGTGGTCTTTGCCAGGCACAGCAGAAACCAGGGAGGTCTGAACTAGTAAAATGCAAACACCAGCCATTTCTGATGGGATTAGGGTACCATAAAAAATGAGAAATAAGCCAGCCCCTCCCTTTTCCTTTTAACACAATCATATTTAAAGCCATCGAAGAGATAAATTATTGATAGCGGCAGACGGTCACCATATCTTCGTAGAGCTGATCTGCTGCTTTCCTTTGGAAGCGTTAAAAAATGTCTGAATAAGCGATGGTTGATTATATTGGCTTGGCTTCTGGGGGAGCTGAGAACTTGCTGCAGCCAAATCCTCAGGAGAAACTAAGGAGAAATAAAAACCAGATGCGATGCCCGTTCCAGGCTGCGAGATCAGCCCACGGGGCAGGGCAGCCAGCAGAAGTGCAGGAAAATGGAAGAAAGCAAGTATGGACTGCCTTCGCCGGTACTTCATAGGCACTGACAAAGTTCATAAGAAATAATGGTTTGCTTTTCCCTTTGTTCTGGACACAATGAAGATGGCTCTCACAGAGCAAAAACCTATCTAAGAGTTAGCTATTGTTATAAACACAGCATGGTTCTGAATCCCACTGAGCTAGGATCAAGGGAATGCATCTTTTTCAGAGAAGGGTTTGTTGACAACATCACTCAGCATGCCAAGCTGAAGATTCAGCTAACAGTCAGACAGATGACTGGGCGGTTCATCGGGGAGAAGTTCAATTCAGTTTATTTCAGTCTGGTATAATATAACCTCATCCAGTTCAACATATACTCATTTGCTGCTTAACTGTGTACAGAGCCCTGAGAGAAATGTAGAATTTTGAAAAGAGAAGGTTCCTTCTTACCCTCACAAAGCTTAAGATCTGAATTCAGATTCTGCCCGAGATCGACTCTAAGATCTCTGAAAACTCTACCTCGAGATTGCGAAATTTCAATGACGGAAAATCAGAGTCTTTGAGGCATGTGATAAATAACGGACATTATTACCTTCAGCAAAGACATTGATCGACATGAGTCCAGTAAATAAAATGGGGATTTGATTTCAGCATGAGGATACTACTGGGCTGCTGGTACAGTACAAAAGAATAATTCTTATTCTGTGCTGACAGCTAGAGGTCATAGGACATGGTTTCATCCAAAGGTCCTTAGGCAGCAGCCACAAACAAGCCAACAGTTTGAAAAGAAGACAAAAAACATATTTTTTGCCTTTTGGAAATTATGTTGACTGGAATCTGTGCTACTCCTCTGTGCTCTTGGGGGGCATTTCAATGGGCTTGTTAGCAATGCCTCTGTCACAGTGCTGGTGGGTGGACTATGACGTGAGGGAGACACTCAGATGCCACAGCACCTCAGTCCAAGGGGCATTCAGAATCTCCAGCTGGCACAACTGTACATTTGCTACCTGCCTTGGAGATACCTTCCTTATTTTCATATTTTTAAATTTGGAACAAGAATATATTTACAAGCTTTGTTTTCATCTGTTACAAAGGAATGATGATATAATTTGATAGAATTATGACTGCATTTTTGGACCTCATCTGATAGTGATTAATTACTAAAACACTGAACAGAAACTTTTGGTTTCAAGGTAGTTCACAGTGGGATTCTGAGGACACCATTCACAACAGGATGTACTTTTTGGACACTTGAGGCAAGAAAGAAACTGAAAAATGAGGAAAATCCTAATGAAATTTCATCCACTTTTCCCCATCTAAACTTTTCTAAACTTTAGGTATTCTGCCCATGTAAGGAACTCCTTTTCCTGAATTCTTGTTAAGTCAAAGTAAGTCTAAGGGAGTACGGGGTCAGATTCATGGCTACCATTGTTGTGGGGGTTTTCTTGGCAAAGATACTGGACTTGGTTTGCCATTTCCTTCTCCAGCTCATTTTAAAGATGAGGAAACTGAGGCAAATATGGTTAGGTGACTTGCCCAGAGTCACACAGCTAGG